ATGAAACACAAAAAATAAATGTTTTTATTTTTTATTTTTTTTTTTCAACGTTTATTTATTTTTGGGACAGAGAGAGACAGAGCATGAACGGGGGAGGGGCAGAGAGAGAGGGAGACACAGAATCGGAAACTGGCTCCAGGCTCTGAGCCATCAGCCCAGAGCCCGACGCAGGGCTCGAACTCACGGAGCGCGAGATCGTGACCTGGCTGAAGTCGGACGCTTAACCGACTGCGCCACCCAGGCGCCCCAAAAATAAATGTTTTTAAAAGCATTACCAACAACTGTGCTGTGAAACCTGTGTTGCCCACAGACACTTTTGTTAATGCTATTACTTTGGGCTACAGGATCACTAAGAAATTAGATGCAATCTTTGCCTTCCTGTGTCTTTGTCTTTCGGAAAAATAAGAATAGTTATTGAACTTCTGGTACCAAAACTAGGAAAAAAAAAAAAAAGTAGTAATATTCTCCAAGAAAATATAAAACCAAAGTAAAACTGTACCTTACAGATTTAGCGTACAAGCAATATGACCTATGGTTCCCCAGACCTCCCCTCCTCCAACCAACCCCCTACCCCTACACAACCTGGTTTATGTAACATACAAAAGCCTACCTTCCATTTTAGGACGCAAACATATTTTAGAATGGTGAATTAGCAGTAACCATCGCCTAAAATAAATAACTGAAATATATGTGAACTAAGTTACTACATATCTATTTGTAGTGCACTAAAGCCTGAGTTTACAAAATAAGTTTCCAAATTTTTTAAATACACAAAATCTATTTTAACTCAGAGCTCTTAATTTTTCCCCATGTAACTTATGTAACCAAATAATACAATTTATCCAAATAAAAATATGCTTTTAATTAATGCAATTAAACAAGTATAAAAACTGTTGATAGCAAACACTACTCAAACTTTTTTCAGGGTTTAGAATAATTATTATCACTAATAAAAATCTTTGCTATCAAACTGTCTTTATTAATATCCAAATATATTTGCTAAATATACACTATCTATACATTCTGGCTTTATACATACATGAATTGTTACTGAGAATGTTCTTAAAGCATTGTTTAAAGTACTTTAAATTTTACTCAGTAAATTATAATATTCTTTTTTCTCTGGAGTTTGAAACATTTTGGTATATCACACTAAAATTTGTGACTTATGCATTCAGGGACTATGTATTTGAATATTTTACTGGTAAAAGTTATATAATGATCTTATATCTGGTTTCACTTCCATGACGGTGTATTTGTTGACTAAGACTGGAAGAGTATTTCCAAGAATGGACTCACAAATTAATGGAACGTCTTGCTTAGAAAAAAAGAATTTAACTGGAAATTAATAATGTCTTTTAAAATAGCTACACAAAAGCCAGATTAGAAAAACACAGCTCTCTAAACTCCAGTGCTTTAAGGGTATCTTGATCATCTGAAGTAAAACTAAAGGAGTTTTTTAAAAAAAAAAAGATCTAAGGGCGGCTGGGTGACTCAGTTGGTTAAGTGTTGGAATTCAGCTCAGGTCATGATCTCACGGTTCATGAGATCGAGCCCTGAATTGTGCTCTGTGCTGACAGCTCAGACCCTGGATCCTGCTTCAGATTCTGTGTCTCCCTCTCTCTGCCCCTACCTGTTGACTTTCTCTCTCTCTCTCTCAAAAATAAACAAACATTAAAAACAATAATTTTTAAAAAAAAGAAAGAAAGGCAAGATCTAGAAGGTAAGCATTTAGACATTCTATTTAAGTGTAACCTTTTCTAAAAATTCTGGCAATAATCAGAATTTAAGTAGAGTAAGAAATAACACAGAAACACAAGATGATCTTTTATATGTCTATTGGTATACACTTCATTTATAAGGAATTATAATTTCAGGGAATAAACAATGACTCTGTTTTTCCCTCCAGTCTTCAGTTTCTTAACTACCAAGAATAAGAGTTGGCCTAGGTCATCTACATCATTTTTCAGGATTCTCTAAATTTGTTTTCAAATGTTAACTTAATTTTATCTCCACAGGGAATAAGCATTCTAAATATAAACGTGTCAAAAGTTAGAAAGGTATTAATATCATAACCTCAAAGATGACTTTATCAAAATATATACATCCTTTTATAAAAACATTTAAACTTCTTTTGCCTGTGCTACATTTAAAGTTGGGATAAAGAAAAAGAGAAAAAGAAAAAAAAAAGAAAACAAAATAGCCTGCTACTATGATTACAACTTTTATACATCTCATTGATGTAGTTCTAAGATTTTCACTGGGAATCAAGGCAATAAGAGAACGTACATAAGTTTATGATGAAGTAAATGTGAACAGAGAAATATAAACTTGAGTTTCAAGTAAATGTTTTAAAAATGTGAATGGCTAGTGCTGACATAGTCTTCAATGGTTATTTGCATTTTTAGCTAATTAAATTTTATGCTCATATTAGACATCTTTGGCATTGTCTCATTGTAAGTACTACATAGTTCTGAGTGTGATCAACTCATCTAAATTCTTGGGAGCTGATTCCACATTAATAATCTGATTAAGTTGTAAAATCTGTTTCAAAATTCTTTGTATAACTGTGTAATTATCTGTGGATCTATATATTCAAGTTCTAGTTGAATAATGGAGATAATGTCAGAGATTATGAAACTGATTATATAATTAAAATTCTGAACATAAATTATATCAAAACATCAATCATCTTGAAAAATATTATATATAAATTTACATATAGTTATGTATTCAGGTTCACCTGTAATTTTATGTAGTTAAAGTGAATTAGAGATCTAAATTTCATCTGTCTTTCCAGCCAATCCCTATGTAATTCATATATATATATATGCATATATATGTGTATATATATTTATATATGTGTGTGTGTATATACATGTATATATATGTATATATATATATATATATATATACACACACGCATACACAGAATGATTCTTTCAAGGAAATGAAACCCTCTGCCTACCTCTTAAATGTTTATTGAAAATAAGAGAAGCCCAATTTGTATTCAAACATATTACACACTTAGACTCTAGATATATAACAACTTAATCATTAGTCAACAGATCCTTCTTGAGGTCATTGCAAATGAGCTACATTTGGTATTTATGCATATAAACTAAACCATTAACTACCGAAGGATGACATACACGGGTTTTCCTCCCACAGTGCACTACAACAGCCAAGATAATAAAGAATGAGGCACATACATACATTTCTCTAGCTATAGTTTACCAGAAGTATAATATATTTCTAAGAATTAGAAACAGTTTAAAACCTTATCTATACCACCAGTTGAAAGTATTTCTCCAAATGAAGACAAGTGAAAAATACCCCATGCTATTCTTTTTAGAGAAACATACAGATATTCAATATATTTAAAAGCAACAAAGGAGAAGAACTAAATCGATTTCAGTGAAAAGACTCAACAGAAAGCAGCTCCAAATTAAAAATAAAATGGTTCAACAACTATGGGCAAATCCCAATTTAGCTTGAATAACCAGTTACAATGAAAACTATGAAAAAATTAAATAGGTAGAGGATAGTATTCAAATAGAAAGTAGAAATTTTCCTCAGGTAAAGCCTGGGATACAGATTTGACTTTTTATTACCATTCTCCAGGGAAATGATCCCAATGTACCATCCCCGCTGTAAAAGCCCGTTTTACTTACTAGCCACCTCCAGCGATGCATTATGGCTCACGGCCTCTCCGAGGTAATTCCTTGCTACACAGACGTAGACCCCTTCATCAGGCCTGCTTTTTCGTCCATGTACTATACGTAAGAAAAATAAAGATCCACTTGGCAGCAACATTCGGTGTGATCGAGGGTCATCTTTGTCCGTCTCCACTCTCTCCCCCCCTTTGTACCATTCGATAGTGGGTGTGGGGCGGCCTTCAGCTTTACAGTTCAAAGTTGCAGGTTCTCCTTTTGACACAATTAGGTCCGAAGGGTGTTCAACAATGCGAGGTGGAAAATCTTCCTGACGAAGACGGGAGCCTGCAGAAGAAGTGATGAAATATCTTCATATTACCACTTGGAAACAGTTACAGAACTTAGTTCAAAAGCCTAGGCTTGGGGCACCTGGGTGGCTCAGTCGGTTGAGTGCCCGACTTCGGCTCAGGTCATGATCTCACAGTTCGTGAGTTCGAGCCCGGCGTCGGGCTCTGAGCTGACAGCTCAGAGCCTGGAGCCTGCTTCGGATTCTGCGTCTCCCTCTCTCTCTGCCCCTTCCCCGCTCATGCCCTGTGTCTCTCTGTCTCTCAAAAATGAATAAACATTAAAAAAAATTTTATAAAAAAAATAAAAGCCTAGGCTTACTACTATGTAAACAGGGGATAATACTGACTACGCTGCCATCCCTATTTACTAATTAATCCCTCTGTTGTCCACCTTAAGCACATCTTCCAATTCTTGAATCCTGTTGGCCCTCCACTTAGAAAGTGCTCTTGCTTCAATTTTGCCTGGACAAATTCTGTCTGCTCTTCAAATCCCTTGACCACAAATGCTTTCAGAACCCATCATCCTGTCTGTACAGACCACATTCTGTGCCTGTTTTCTGCAGAGGAATGTGTGAGGGAATTGTAGAGCATTACAAATAATTGTATGGATTCTGAGAATCTCCTTTGTAACTAACATCAATCAACACTTTAAAAAAACTATCCAGTACACTAGTGAAATTCATATTCAAATACATGATGAAACTGCTCTCTATATAGATTTTTATATCTTCCTAAATAATAAAAGTACGCATGTGTGTACACTTTCCCAGAATTTGAATGAATTTCATTAGGTACCAATAATTATATGTTAATATTTAATATACTTCAAAGATGAAATGTTATATAACTGAGTTTAAATAATTAAATTTAACATAAAATGAAAAAGGACCCTGGGTGAGGGCCTACATTCTGTACCTTATGGATTACTTAATAAGTGAAGTCCTGAGTGTACATATCATTTAAATATTTCCTGTGTCTGTACTTTATTTTTTCCCAGTGAGATTATAACTTTTGAAACAGGGATAAAGATTCATATTTTTTAATATTCCTACCATATTGCTGCCGTGGAAAGATTTAATATGTAAATTTCTTAAAGATTTCTCAAATGCAACAGCCCAAGGCTTAATTTAATTGAGCCCCAAACCTTGATCTTATCTAGTCATCCAATCTCAATGAATAATGCAAAGTAGAAACCAGGCTTCCTTGACACCTCCCTTTCTTTCCCCTGTTTCTTAAATCAATCTATTCCTCTCCGTCTCCACAGCCAGCTACCAACCCAGATCAAACTTCTATCAATTCCCACCAGGATTTAGGAAAGCTCTTAAATAGCTTCACTTCAGTGTAGCCAGATGAAGGCTTTGAAATGCAAATACAATCTGGGTTCTCCCCTACTTCAGGGGCTCTTAAAATAAACTCACTGCTCTTAAGATAAAGTCTTTAACAAGATCTACAAGAGTGTGCTCATTCCCCTATCTGGCTCTCCAGACTCTTCCTGTTCCACTTCTTTCTCTGCTTTTCTCTACCTTGTGTTACTTTACAAACACATTGTGATTTCTTCTGCCACAGGCCTACACCTGCCACAGGGTCTGTGTTGGAAATGATCTTACCCTAGTTAATATCCACTTTCCTTTCAAATCTCTGTCCTCCCTGATCTTACCACAAAAATTAAATGACCCTTTTATAAACCTAAACACCACTATATAGTTAAGGTTGGTAAGAATGATCAGAATTACAATTTGAATTTTTTTGTTTGATGCTTTGAATACCATCTTTCCCATTAGTCTATAAGATCTATGGGTCTGATTTTGCTCATGGTTGCTTCTCTTATGCCTGGCAGAGTGCTGAGCACACCGTAGGTACTCAATAAATATGTGTTGAATAAATGAAAAAAAAAATGAATGAAGGGCTGATGGAGAAGACCTATTTGAATGGAATGATCTGAGGCTTAATAATCATGTATTCTGTGAAGAGACATTAAAGATTTTATTTTTTAAATTGTAACCATATCCATACTATTCAACCTTTCGTAGACTCTGCATGGGCTGATGCACATCTCTAATTTGTAATTACTACAATTAACATTATTTTCTCAATGAAATGAACAAATGAATGATGAAATTAAAAGAGCATTTGCTTATATCAATCCTGAAATAACAAAAAGTATCATCTGAAATACTGAGTAATAGTTTTGCAATCTGAAATGTTGAGAAACAGCTTTAGTTCAATGCATGGTATACGACATACCATAAATTCTTTAAATGAAACCGGGTTCTAAAGGAGGAAGAAATAAACCAGCAACATGGGGAAAAAAATAACTTGGCAACTCATATCCTCTCACAAAGGCTATACTGAAGTCAAATGAAATTTAAGTTAGATTTTAGAGTACTCAATTGCAAATGCTAGAAAATTTCAGAAAATAAAACATTATAATATATTACCAGCCTTAATTATGAAGGGTGGATGCAAAGGAGAATCAACTACTGGGGTAATATATATTTAATTAATAAAGCATATCTTTATTTTAAATTCTGAAAGTTCATTTCAGATAGGAAATAGAGATGCACAATTTACTATGAAAAAACAAAGAGGGGACACTTAGAACTGCCTGAGCAAGGAAGAGAAGGCATCCTGACACATAAAATTTGAGATGAGTCTTGAAGAGTAAGTCAAGAATAAAAGAAAGGAGATGATTTCACCCAGAGGCACAGCTACAAAAAAACATGATACACTTGTGGGACCTTCAGGGAGTTTGTATGACCTAAGTATAAGGTGATGTCAGAGATTAGCAAGTACGTGCCTGAAGAAGTAGTCAGAAGCAATAATGTGGTGGGCTTTGTGTATCAAGCCAAAGTTCTGGAATCTACCTGAAGGCAACAAAACATTTAATTATTTTAGGGCACAGTCAAGTTTTTTTTTTTTTTTTTTTTTTTTTTTTTTTTTTTTTTTTTTCTAATTTTTTTTAAATTTTTTAACGTTTATTTATTTTTGAGAGACAGAGAGAGACAGAGCATGAGCAGGGGAGTAGCAGAGAGAGAAGGAGACACAGAATCTGAAGCAGGCTCCAGGCTCTGAACCGTAAGCACAGAGCCCTATGTGGGGCTTGAACTCACAGACCACGAGATCATGACCCGAACTAAGTCCGACGCTTAACCGACTGGGCCACCCGGGTGCCCCGAAGTTTGTTTTTAAAGAGCTCACTACTGGTAGTATGAAACTGGACTATAGCAGGCTAAATTAGGAGGTCATTGGTCAGGAAATTTTGTTCTCTTCAAACAATTAAATTCTGAAAACTTGGACTTGGACAGAGCAGAAAACAGAAAAAAGAATCTAGAGATAGTTACAAAATCAACAGCGCCTGATCATTGGCAATAAGGGATAAAACAGAATTGAACAATGCACAGGATGGAGAGGAAGCACAAGGTAGAGAGATTCCAAGTTTCTGATCAGAGCAGTGGGTGAAGGGCAATCCCAATGAAGGTGGGGAATAAAACAGTGAAATCTGGTGAGAGGAAGGACAGAGGAGCCTGGAGTACTTCTTGAATATCCAAATGGAGATGACAGGGTGGCAAGTGAATATCCAAGTTGGACCTCAGAAAAGAATCTCAGCTTGAGCCATAGATGAGAGTCAATCTGGAGACTGAAACCATGGGAAAGAATAAAACTGTCTAGGGACAGTGTACTGAGGAATTAACAGCCAATTACAGAACCTGGAGATTACCCAGACTCCACTGAAGTACAGTGGAGCTCAAGACTCTCTGTGTCCGTAACCTGCAGTCCCGTATAGCTGGGCCACAGCTAGTGTGACTTCTGGGAACGGAGAACACAGGCCTCAGCTTTCCCCGGAATGTTAGCACGGCAGTTTTCAGTAAAAGAGTTTCAGCAATAAAATGGCTTCTGTATTACTAAAGGCTAAATTTTCAAAAATGTTCCTTGGAATCCACTTCCCCCAGATTGTTAATATGTATTGCTCAAAAGAAAAAAAAAGACCTGCAGCTCTCAGGGTCTTTAGTCTTGCTAAAGCACATTATGATGCGTACAAAGAAAGGTATTCATTCTATGCAGCACTTCTCAAAATTATTTGGCCGTTGAACCCTTCAGTTTTCTTTTTTCAGGATATCCTACTGAATTTTTTTCTAAGGAACACATTTCCAAAGAAAATATACTCTGTTAGCATATAATAATATGAAGAAAGAATGATTAGGGTTAGAAAAAAAAAGTTACTTAAATACAGAGTTGATACCTTTGAAGATCATAACAAAAAACATAGAAAGCCCACATTCCTCATAATGTATAACTTGCAGAAAAGGAACTTTCCAATTCCCGAGTGATATTTATAATGAGTAACTGGTTAACCTCCACAATAAAAATTATAAATGGCCATCATTTCATCACCAGAAAAACTATAATAAATTATTCTTTATTATCAAGTCTAAGCAGAAAGGAAAGGAAAGAAAATGAAAACTAGCATTTATTATCCATCATCTCCTCCATCACATCTTTATGAGGTGGGCGTTGTGTATCTGGTGTCCATATGGGGGAAGTGAGACTCTCAGCTGTCATTCAGCTGGAAGGTGGCAGTGCTGGGATTCCATCTTAGTCAAACTCTAAACCCTTGCTCTTCCCAACTATTCCATAAATACTGCTAGGATTAATTAGCTAAAATCCACAGAGAAACATGTTTGGTCTGTTCTGGATTCCAACACCGGAAGTGTTCTTTTCGAACGCTCATTTTTGAAAACGTGGATGATAAAAACAAGAAGTAGTCACATGTGGTGGCATCTGTTGTTCTCTCCCTATGCACACAGAGAACACCTAACTGTAAACCACATGATTGCATATTCCTTTTACTCAGTAAAGAGTTTGATGATGAACAAATGGAAGTATAAAGCTTTTCTTCTATTGCGTCATCTTCTCTAAATAGGAGGTTGAATTTTGGAGTAAGTATCCTTATACTGTCAGTTGTTAATACCTCAGTTCCTACACAACTCTTTGCACAAT